TTTCGATCAGTCGATGTCTGCGCTGTTTGAATTTTCCCACGTGCATATATCGAGGCCGCCAGTGACATGATTTTCGTTAGGGATATAAGTCTGATAAATATTACTGGAGGACAGACACTGAGCGGTGTTATATACAGAAGATTCTTCCCTCAAATTAATATTCAGAAGGTAATAATTAATTTTTTTTTCAATGGCTCCTATGAAAAATTAGCTTTCACACAGAGACAAAACCACACGGTGGTTGTGTTGAACAATCTTGTTCTATGATTATGTTTTATTTGTTGGTGTATTGCCTCGATAAGTATTTCTTTGGCAGAAACCAGTTTGCACGAAATTATTATTCTCCTAAAAGAGGACCATAAATGTGCAATAAGTTTTCCTGATCGTCATTATTATTATTGATAATTTAAACCGATATATTTTAAAGATGCTGTTTAGCCCTCAAAATTTTGCCATAAATTCATACCATAGAAACTTTCTAAATAAACACTTAGCACGCCTTGGATTCGACTTAATTGGCCGTTATTTTTAAGCTGGCTTAGAGCCTCCTGCTAACTCCCATGTCATCCTCCCTCCTCCGTTAAAAAAACTCTCTTCCTCGGATTTTGCAATCTTAAGATGGGAATGGTGTTTTGCACTAATGCGTATTAGCTATTCAAATTAGCTTTCTAGATCTCATGAATATTGCATTGGTCGTCCAAATATTTCGATTTCTAAAAGCTCTGCGGTGAGCCGCGGACTTTGACCAAGTGGTGCCCATGCGAACTGATTCGTCATCGTATCTGTTATTTTATTTCAACCTCAGCTGTTAAAATGAGAGAACAACGGAAGAATAACTGTTGCTGCATTTTTTGCGTTCTATGTGCGCTAACAGTAAGGCCTCAGTGTATACAGAAATTTTTCACCCTTAAATTAGGGATGTTTTGACTTTCTGATCGTTCTTGGATTTGGGCTCATTTGCGTAGAATTTAGTGTATTTTAGTACGTTCTGCACATTGCACTGCCTCCTGCACATGGCACTGCCTCCTGCACATTGCACTGCCTCCTGCACATTGCACTGCCTCCTGCACATTACATTACATCCCGCATATATTACAGTGCTTCCAGCACAATGCTCATTTCCTTCCATCCTGCACTTATCACTGTCTGCTGCTCCTACCTCTACGTGCTGCAAAAAAAAACTTATCACTGTCTGCTGCTCCTACCTCTACGTGCTGCAAAAAAAACTTATCACTGTCTGCTGCTCCTACCTCTACGTGCTGCAAAAAAAAACTTATCACTGTCCGCTGCTCCTACCTCTACGTGCTGCAAAAACAACTCATCACTGTCTGCTGCTCCTACCTCTACGTGCTGCAAAAAAAGACCGCGCAGTTTGGGTCTTGAAGATGACACTCTGTTGGTCTCATGAGGTCTGAGGCGTCGTTGTATGGTGCAAATGTAAGACGTCTTCGGGTGGCTTGGTAAAAATTAGGCAAGCTACAGCAGGCCACTGAACTCTGCCGGCCATGCTATACCTATTAATTCAACAAGAAAATTAAGTTCTTCTTGCAGCATTTGTAAAATTCAATTCTGCAAACTCATCATTACTTACGATGGCCCGCACGTTGACAAGATAATCACACTCCTACTTGAGAAAACATGATGAACGGTAGCCATTTTGGTACATAGTTACAATTTAATGCATTGCCATCTCAGAGCAACGAATTGATTGCGTTTTCTTAAAAATAACGTAGTAAAAATTATCGGCTTTCACACTCAATTCATGTAAGTCAAACCACTGTCCGTTGAAAAGATTTGATCAAAAGGCCAGTCTATTAGATCTGTGAATTAGTCACGGTAACTACAAGAATCGGCGACAGGCCTATCCAGGCCTATTCTTCAACGCCGAAAATACTTTACTATACTAAACAATGTACGACTCTGGATAAAAATTTAGAAGAATTTTTTTTTATTTTCTCTTATCATTGCTGTTCCCTAAACAATCAATTGGAATTTTAAAATTCATTCGCACTGCTGAGGTCACAGAACTTCGGTGCACTTGGGAAGGATTTTAATTCAAATCGAAAATTCCCTCAAGCCGAGGAATTTATTGGCTTTAAAACTGCAAAAAAATTATGTACAAATTTCATGAGTGTCAGTTAAGCCATTTCTAAAATAAAATTTTTATTTTTAACTTCTGAATTTAAACTTGAAAATTCTTCTAAACCTAGAAATTTATACACTTTGAAATTGCAAAAAAAAAAAAACAGTCCAAATTTCACAAGTGTCAGTTCAGTCCTTTCTGGAACAGAATTAGTATTATTTACTCATTAAATTCTAATTGAAAATTCACGTAGAACCTATAATTTTATTTTCTTAACAACGGCAATAAAAGTTCAAATTTCACGATTGTCAGTTCAGCTGTTTCTGAAACGAAAATATACATAACTTTCTAACCGCGTAACTAATTTCCTATATTTATGCATCCTCGTCTTGCCAGCAGCATCAGGTATATTGTTCGCGTGCTAGTATCTAGTTATCAATTAGTAGGTAACATGAACGTCTTGCCTTAGGCCTATATAATGCCGGGTGGATTCACTAGTATATTCCTGCGCTGTCGCATGCTCTTGAGCTCGTGAGATGGATGTATTTAATAATATTCACCCGATAAATAATTTCCTTCAACATCAATCAGATAATCGTTTTATTTATGCTGAGAATGAGCACAAGGTTATTAATAGCGATCAATTTTTTTGCGCTCATCTCCTTTATTTATTAATTTATTCTGTGAGTTTATTACTCACCGAATTTTTGCGCTCCGTACCGTCTTTGATTTTTCAAGTCTCAACGCTGAATAACGCGTCACTATATTTATCGTTTATAGGCCCGGTAACAACGTTGGTTATTAAGCCCTTTAAACCTGCACCCAAAGTATCATAAAAAGCAGTGGTAGCGACTTGTAACTTTACTTAGTTGTCCGACTTGTAACTTTCGTAAATGCCGGACGCGCTTCGTCAAAATCCGTCTAAATATAAGGAGCTAGAGATTTCTGTTTGAGTTTAACACTGAAGTTGCGAGGCTTGTTTGCCCTGCAGCGACTGCTACTCCCTCTATCAGCTGCGCTTGGCTGTGGAGTGGCCATCGAGTGGCCGACGACTGGCAGTCAATCATCAAGCTTGGAAGTTTCTATGGAATGATACGCTTTGTAGTGACGCCGAAGTAAGTGCAGTTATTGGAACCGTCACTCGATATTATCATTTACGATGCGATGTCGTGGCGTCTGGTATATACAACCAAACATCGAGAGCACGTTTTTCGTGCGAAAAAAAACGCATTCCGTGGACTGACTTTTTATTTTAATAGCGATTGACTCGAATGTTGATTATTTCTTTTCTAGCGGGAACTCGGAATATACTCATGCTGTGGCCGACTAGTTGAGATCAATATTAGAGTAGCAAGTTGAGCGTTCGCTACTCTGAGGAACTGGTTGTAAAAATTATGGTTGAAATCAGCCCATGGCATAATCTAAGCTAAGGGCACCACTGTCACGATTTTCCACGACCCAGTTCGCTATTAGTGGTAGATCGTATAGGCTTTTCGTAGCTGAACACACGATAGCAGTGACGATTTTCCTACACGCAGTTCACGTTTCGCTGTTGATCGTAGGTGAACAGTCGATTCAATGACGATTTCCAGGATGCAGTGCAGGATTGACGGTCGATTGAACTTCAACTATCGATCGCAATGGCGATTTCTAGGACGCAGTAAAGGATTGACAGTCGATCGAAGTTCAACTATCGATCGTAATGGCGATTTTCCGGGACGCAATACAGGATTAACGGTCGATCATAGTTCAACTATCGATCGCAGTGACGATTTCTAGGACGCTGAACAGGATTGACAGTCGATCGAACTTCAATTATATCGATCGTAGTGACGATTTCTAGAACGCACAGAATTCCAGTGCATTGTAGTTCATGAATGGCGGTCGATCAAACTTCAACTATCGATCGCAATGGCGATTTCTAGGACGCAGTACAGGAGTGGCGGTCGATCAAACTTCAACTATCGATCGCAGTGACGATTTTTCGGGATGCAATACAAGATTGACAGTCGATCGAAGTTCAACTATCGATCGCAACGGCGATTTCTAGGACGTAGTAAAGGATTGACAGTCGATCGAAATTCAACTATCGATCGCAATGGCGATTTCTAGGACGCTGTACAGGATTGACGGTCGATTGAAGTTCAATTATCGATCGCCGTGACGATTTTCCGACACGCAATTTCCGATTGACGGCAGAGACAGCGTTCATTTGTAGAGGTCTCGAGTGCATGCGATGGGTAACTCAACTATAAGCTCATCGCTGCCGTGTTGCCGCCAGCTCACTCTATTTACTGAAAGTTTTGGCCCCAAGTTTTTTCAGGACTTGGTTGCCCCGGCTAAACTTTTTCTCTTTCAACTTCTTTAGAAACTCATGTTTGAAGATGGCGCAAGTTTGCGGCCTGAAACTCTTTCAGTGGCAGTATTTTTCTTCTGCTGCTTCTAATGAGAGCTCGGATGCGTTACTGGCCAATCAGAGCCTGTTAATTTACTGGAGAAACTAACACTGTGTTCGAAAAACCTCAGCTCGCTATCACGGCAAGTTTGCTCTGTACTTTTAAATCATTCTCTAAAAGTCTATCATGGAAAAATGTCACTAGTTTCGAGTATTTCTGTTATGAATCTTTCCGACTTTTGAGCCTGAGTGTGTTTTTTGATTCTTGTGTCAATATGTTTTGTTTTTTGTCCTCTATTATGTCGAGCTACTTAACGATGAGGATTTTTTGGAGTTAATTGCTAGTAGTCCTTAAAATTCATGTCTCGGTTCAACAGAGAAAAATTAACGCCCCTGCTCTTCTGGAATTTTGTGTTTAACACTAGCTCATCAACTCGCTATGTCACTAATATAGTCGCAATTAACTGTATAAAATTCACGTTGTAATTAATGAAAAATTATCTGAAAACATTCAAATCTAAAATGGACCCTTGTGAGGTTAAATGATTAAACACAACAAAACTTGTCCCCTAACTGTGCAGGAATTTTAAGTTAAAAGGCAAATTCATTGCCGAATTTTTCACTTTTACAGGTGATTAGACTAGAAAGATTATTTGAACTACGTTAGAAACTTTCATCGTATTTACCAGCAAATCCTATGCTTAGAAAATATTCTCGCCATGCATTTAATCATGGACAATTTTGTGACGTCTATTTGAACTTTGAAAGCGTGGTTTTTGTAAGCATCAGTTATTTGGTATGTGACAGAATTATTCGACTGTATTATTTCGATTCATTTTTATTTTTGTACTACAAACATTAGTTAAAAAGAACATAAATGGTCGTGGACTAAAAGCATTAGCGCCAATCATCAGCGACATAAAAATTATTTTGCCCACAATTCATGGTAATTCAGTTGATGTAAATTATTTGCTAATTTAACTATACGTTGGGATTCAGTCTTTCTGTCGACACAGGATCTTGATGTAATGGCCAACATTTTCCTTCTATTTTATATCGTCGTCTATTTTATATCGTCGCGCATCATTGCTAATCACGTCACGCTAGCCTTCTTATGGAGAAGGCGCTGTCCTTCTCGCTGCCTCCTTGCACTACTCGTGTGGAGAGGCCACTGCTCTCCACTCTGCCTCGCTGCACTGCACTTATTATGGAGAGGGCTCTCTCCACGCTGCCTCATGTGGAGAGGCACTGCTCTCCACGCTGCCTCATGTGGAGACAGCGCTCTCCACGCTGCCTCATGTGGAGACAGCGCTCTCCACGTTGCCTCATGTGGAGACAGCGCTCTCCATGCTGTCTCACGTGGAGACAGCGCTCTCCACTCTGCCTCATGTGGAGACAGCGCTCTCCACGCTGCCTCATGTGGAGACAGCGCTCTCCGCGCTACCGTGCTTTATGCATGGCAGAAAATGAGGCCTGAGAGGCGTTACCATGGCGCCTATTGATTATCCGACGCCTCGAGGCAGCTCCTCTGCCTCACAAAGTGCCAATGGCTGCAAATGAAAGGCCTATCCAAAGTTCCCTTGAAATGAAACAAAGAAACTTTGCATCGCCTCAAGTAGTGCATGAGAATAGACGTTCATGGTTCTTATATCTCTTTAAGTAATGTGGTACAGCAGGCAGATAACGGTGTTTATTAATTCAATATGCGTAATCAATGGGTCATCATTCGTCTTCGGTGAATATTGTAAAGTCTTCTTTCTTCTACTTTAGTACGCTGATTTATGTCAATTGCTTTTCGTTTTCCATGATTCTGAAATGTATCATATTCTCAAGTAATCGTTAACTTAAAATTTTATAAACTTGTATTGAAGTTCGCACCTACGAGACTACCTACGTAAAATGAAGGCTTAATTAATATACAAACTCAAAAAAGTTGTTTTAGCATCGCATTAGAAACAAGAACTTTTGAGAGTTGCTGGCAAAAGGATAAGGGAACGAATGTCATGGCTTACTCACAGACGTTTTTTTCTATAGTTTATCGTACTATTTAATTAGCATGCAATAAGTCATCATAAATATTCGTTCGTTCTAATTGAATTTCTAATTTGATTGCATCGATGATCACAATTTGATTCGATTACAATTCGTTGCATCGAATTTCAAATTTTTATTTATTTTAATGCTAGTGCCGATGGCTCACGAATATTTGTGGCAAAAAGCAACAATCGCTGCTGTTTTCACATTTCCTTTCGTTTCCTTTTCAAAAAACTTTGATTTCAGTAATTTTTTCTCAAAATGTTCGTTATGATATATATTTTATTCACTTGGATTTTAAACGCCACTAACCACTGCACGAGTGCTGTGGACTTGACACGTGCCACTAAGAGAAATTAATGAGACTTTGTCCCACTAGCGATGCACTTCTGCTTTTATGTGCGTCATCTCGACAGTTTGCTGGTAAGAAGACGTATCAGTGCTACACGCTGCGAGTGTGGAACTATTTGGCAATTATACCCATACATTTTTCTGTGTTCATACACTGCATCCCTCCCCCCAGAAACACATCCCTCACCCCTGAAGCACATCCCTCACCCCAGAAACACATCCCTCACCCCAGAAACACATCCCTCACCCCAGAAACACATCCCTCACCCCAGAAACACATCCCTCACCCCNTGTCTTCTCTACGTATGTTACACGCTATCCTTCCATTTGTTGTCTTCTCTACGTATGTTACACGCTATCCTTCCATTTGTTGTCTTCTCTACGTATGTTACACGCTATCCTTCCATTTGTTGTCTTCTCTACGTATGTTACACGCTATCCTTCCATTTGTTGTCTTCTCTACGTATGTTACACGCTATCCTTCCATTTGTTGTCTTCTCTACGTATGTTACACGCTATCCTTCCATTTGTTGTCTTCTCTACGTATGTTACACGCTATCCTTCCATTTGTTGTCTTCTCTACGTATGTTACACGCTATCCTTCCATTTGTTGTCTTCTCTACGTATGTTACACGCTATCCTTCCATTTGTTGTCTTCTCTACGACGTTCGTTCAATATTCTCTCTGTTGTAACGTAAAAATTCCTCGCTGATGTATCATGCATAATTTAGTTTGATGTAGGGGTGTGGTAAGGCGGGCGACTCGCAGGGTTAGGCACCGAAATAGGCGAATTCTCTTGCTTTTACTTATGCTATTCGCTGTAAGATTTAATATTAATTTACCTAGTACATGGTCCCAGTTCTCTTGAGATTGATGTATTAACAGTAGCGTCAGTACAACCGAGCTACTTACTCTATTCAATAAACCATTTATATTTATTCGTCGAATCTGCATGGAAATAGTCGTGAAATAAATGCGTGTTATGCAGTGGTAAAGAGGAGTGTCACTTTTTGGACAACAAAACAAGTATTGATTTCCGTGAGGGCTAGGTGTGGCGTGGGTGGCTACCGTGCTACGCCACACGGGTGAGGCACACCATTTGTCAGTCACCGTGGCTGCCGTGGCGTTATCTGTGCCACACGAAAGCCACGCAGGAATTCAACACAAAAGATGTTTCGTCGTTAACTCGACGCCGGCTTTAATAACCCGGATTAGTGACCCGAAAATTCCCGCGTAGACTCATCGGTCCCTTGACTTCCATCGTTCCTCCTCTAACCGTTGATTTAGAGATGGCGCTTCTTGCATTTCTTGTTTATTTTTATTTTGGGGAGGGTTTTCATGCATCATTAACATGTAGCTAGGCTCTATCCCATAGGCCCTATCAATCTTTTATATTAGCTTCCCCATTCAATCTTTAGTAAACTCACTTTCATAGCCTTGCAAACCTCTGTAGGAATAAAACGTTTTTAATTATCCTTTCCAAGCTATTCCATATGCATTTCTTGTTTATTTTTATTTTGGGAGGGTTTTTATGCATCATTAACATGTAGCTGGGCTCTATTCCATAGGCCCTTTCAATCTTTTATATTAGCTTCCCCATTCAATCTTTAGTAAACTCAGTTTCCTAGCCTTGCAAACCTCTATAGGAATAAAACGTTTTTACCTATCTTTTCCAAGCTATTCCATAATATCTTCCAAAATATTTAGTTTTCAATAATTACTCCATCAGTTATTATTTACGTTTCGTTTTTATTTTCATTTCGTTACTCATAATTGAAATGGTTTTATTCAATTCATCGTTTGAACTTCCCTCCCAAAAACTGGGTTCTTCCTCGTCGCGCGCTTCCGCTTCAGAATTTTTAGGCTGGGGTTCTAGGTGGTCTAATTTTTTTTAGGCTGGGGTTCTAGGTGGTCTAATTAGACCTAATTATGTCGGTGCGAGATAATGTGATCCAATTGCTTCCCGCGTCGCTACTCGACGTCGCCCATCCAAATCTTACGCGCAATTTCGCCTCACCGCAAAGTTTGAGCGCAACTTTGTCGGTACGATCATGCGGGCGATCCTCGCGAAACTTTTTTAAGTTTGAGGCCCATTAAATTAACCTTCTAAGGCTCTCTTTTGTTCCTCTTTCCTCATGCCATGACCCTGTCTTACTTCTCCTCAGCTTGAGTATTCATGCTTGTATTTATTTTTTTAATTAATTTCATGAGCAACCTGAAAGTAAAATATTCCGTACATTTTTATTGCGATTGCTGACGCAATGTATTAGTTCACAGAGAAATGTTCATCTAAATGATATAAAGTCTAACGAAGACAAAATTTTACCAATTAAAACATTGGAAAATATCACTTTGCCGTTACTACTAAAAATACTAGTCGATATATTCGCTTTTATTAGCATTTCATTTGAATTTTGTTTCGAGTAGCAGTTTTTGATGAAGTTTTAAACATGACTGTCGATGTTTCATTTATTTATCTATGTTTGGAAAAGTTTTAAGTCTAAAACTGACTGGAAACTCTCATATAATTTGTATTATTAAGTCAGCTTATCTACTACTTGTAAGGTGGAGAATCAGCTCGAAATATTATTGTCAATAAACCAGCAATTCATTCACTATCTGTAACATACATCCCTTTGCTCTTCCATACACCCATCCTTTCCAGTCAGCCCATCTTCCAACACTCCTGTCAGCATAAATATGCAGTCTCTTTGTTATGTGTACATGAAAATCATTTAAAATTACGAATTTTGGGTTTCCGGCGAAACCCAAAATCTTGGTGAAGCATCACCATAGTTCGTGCCCAGGCTTGCAAACCGCTCAATGTTTCACTTAAATCCATCACTTAGAAATTTTTTTTGTCAGTGATTTATTTGCCCTAAACACTTATAATCGTTATCCTTATCTTTAAGCAGGTTCGCCTTCACACAAACCAGTCAATGAAAAGGAGATTTCAGCGGCGAAAAATTCTATGCTCATAAAAATTCTGTTTGATTTAACGACAGCTTCGTTAATCATTCAATCAAGTCCATAAATGCATCAATCGATTTGCACTTTAATAAATAATACGCAAGTGTTTCGATCAAATTAATAAGGAATTGAAAGCCGTGAAGCACCTCGTAACACTGCGTTGTTTATCGTAGCTAACGACCATATATAATTGATGAAACATCGCTCAATTGTTCATTTTGAATTTTATGACCAATTCGTGTTTTGTCTGAAGGCATTCGTCTGATCAATCAAAATTCAATTGCGCAATGCGCAGCCTGTATTAACTTCGGCTCTCTTCACATGAGCAAAATTGCATCATCTGCTTAGCGTATAAATTTTCCATCACTTTTACTGCCCGTGTATCAGTTGAGGAAAACAACTAACCCGTCTGGTTTTCTTTTGCTCTAGAATTGCGAAAAATTGCCTCAATAATCCTCCTTCAATTTAGAATAAAGTTGAAATCTTTTCGTGTCGCTTGATGAGTCATCCTCATGATCCCCAAACTCCCGTCGAGTTGATTGAGTTTCATCGTTGATTAAAACACTGGATTGTAAACAAGGAACTCTTTGCTTGTCGGAACTGTGTAGTGATGGATCATCGTTGTAGTATGACGACGCCTATAAGCCTTCATGCTCGTAGCAATAAGCTTAGTTCGGCATCATCGCTGACGACGTTTTCTCGCAGGCTTGTCGGTCGCTGTGCTGCCGGTAATTACCTTTCCAAAACTCTCAGATTCGGCCATCTCTTTTCTAAACTCCAGAAGCGATATTGCCATTCATAAAATATTGGATGAAGCATTTTTTCTACAGTTTGGAGCAGCCCTTAACATGATCCCTGTAGTATGGTGAGCTTCAGACCATGGTTGTTGTGTTCAAGAGCCCCCAGCTTCTTTCACTCGAGTTACTCGTGAGCGGATGAGCTTGGATCTTCGATTGCAACACATGAAAAACTTCGTCGAGTTGATCGTTGTTAATTGCGTACTACGCAAGCTGTGTGTGCATTGTGGCTGCAGCAGCCACGGATGCTCTTAAATTGTGACGTGG